CGGTCATTTACTATTGTAGTTCAGAAGCCATAAACAAGCTTGTAACCAGTTTAATCTTTAATTTATGGATCATTTTCTCGATCGAATATTGTCTTGAAATAGACGCAAATAACGGCAAATAGCCAGCCATAGCGTCTGTGTAGAGCTAAACAATACTCAGTCGTAAAGAGAAATACGGACTCAAGCCGTTAACATAGGAGTGTAGGCAGACATTAAGTTTCATTGACGAAGTCTTTCATAGCTATTTAGCAAATTCTTTTGTCAGTTTACCTTTCTTTACATAAATCATTTATTGTTAAAATAACTTGAATTTAATGTATTGGGTATTTTGTTTAATTTATAACCTAATTCAGGAGGTCGCAAGGCACGCGAGGCGCGCAGTCAGCATCCACGTTGCACAAAGATTATCAAGAAAAGCATCTCGGATCAAGAATTTAGAAATGTCTTAACAAATACTCCTTTTAGTGTATATCTACCGCCAGATTCTACATAATTAACATCTTATATATTTCTAAGGCAAGGTAGCAATTAACATTTAAAATTATGCTTTAAAATAGGTAAATATTATGCAATAAAATTCCATATCCTCGTAAACGGTATCGTTGGATATAACATAATTAGAATATCCATATAAGTTCTATTATAACGGTCTTATCGTAAATCAATCGGCGTTAAAGACAGGGTTCTATGGCATGTTTTTCTTATATTAGTTTCCATAATAAATCGAACAACCTGAAGGTGAAATACACCCCTTTAACATAATGAGCTAATTTTTAAATACACCTCGTTATACAAGAATTTTTAAGTCGTTTATAAGGATAAGTTAACTGCCGGATTTCTAATTGCTTAGAATTAAAATTTAATTGGTTCTTTCCCTAATTATAGTTACAAAAGCTATCGAGCATTTAACCTTATACTGGGCGTTGATAAATCAAAACTTACCCCTTGGTTGTCTCTACATTGTATAAACAAAATAAACAGTTAATCTTAAAGATGCTCGTTTCTAAACGGAAGTGTTTCTAAGTTCTATAACTTACGGTACAATAATTGCTACTTAACTATTAAAGCTAAATCTATATACTAATATAATAAAACGTAAACACACACTACTTTGAGAAGCAGGATGTTAACAACCGCAGCATAATTTTAAATAATTCTTTCTTTAATTAAAACACTTACGACGAGCTTTAGACTATATATTTTCACGCTATTAGTAAAGATATAAATTATAAAAAACCTTCATGTATGAAAAGGACCATAAACTATAAACCGCGTTATAATGGTGACAGTAATTTTGACATTTGCAATTGAGGATTTGACAAATGTAAACAAAAAAATCAAGTTTTTATAATTCGATGCTAATGAAGCCGCAACAGCTAGTAATAACATAAATTGTAATCAAACGATATCTATGAAGTTATTTATGAAGGCAGTTCACCGGAAGAGGAGTGTATTTAATGAAAGGGCAAAACAATAGCTGTTCACGGTCGAAACTACGCGTGGTATGGGAGCAGTTTCATGGTTGAACAGAAGCCACAGGGCTAGGCCAAGTCGAGGATAAAGTCCGGAACACAGCGTGATGCAACTGTACTTTAGGTGTTTTTAGATCGATTTTAATCGATTATTAACCAATCGGTAACTTCCGATGGTTAATTCACGAGTGACATCGATTATCATTTGTCATCGCCTAGTTAATTAAGTTACGCGTTCTGACGCGTAGGATGGATAAACGATTCATGTCTTCGGAAATGTATTGAAGATTATTGTTGTAGTGAAGTCAATTGAATTTTTATTACTTTTAAGAAAACAACCGAAAAAACTTAAGTAGAATATTAGAGATACAAGCAATCTATACTAATATTATAAAGAGAAAAACTTTGTTTAATTGTACTGAATAGGCTCTAAAACAACGAAGCCGATTTTAAAAGGTAATTAAACTGTGTTTTTTCATTCCTTTTGTATTATATATTAAATTTCACGCGGACGGAGTCGCGGCCAAAAGCTAGTTTTAAATAAACTTCTATACCTTTATCTATGTAAATGTTATGGACAAACATATTTTGGTGCATATAAAGTTTAAATAATCTGATTGCTTCTCACCTTTTTAAGTAATACATGATATTGTACAAGTAACTTTAGGGAAAAATACTGCTGCGGTATTTCAGCGAATTACAATTTCCCAGCGGTATGCGATCGTGTCCTGTCACGTGGTTGGTGTATGGTACAAGTCAATAGAGACAAACGTATTACATAATTTTTTTTATTTCAATTATTTTTATGCGTAAAATGATTTAGATGTGTCTTATTTTTTGTTTCCTACAATTTAATAAAGTAGCTTTAGTAGCGAAGCTTCTTTAACAAAGAATTACACATTTAAGTTGTTCTTTCATAAAGAAAGTTTAACATCACTTCAACAATAGACAAAATTGGCTACTTAATTGCTGACATCACCTTTAACTTGCTTAATAACAGTTATAACGGAATAATAATTAATTTCTTGTTTTAATAGTAGCTTTGTTCTATGCGCATTGTTGGGGAGCGCTTCTTACGTCACGAAAAAAATTGCCTTTGTAAGTTGTGAGTAACAATTAACATGTAATGAAATTGGTTATTTTAATTATACATTTATATATACCATACTTTAAAATAAGATTAAAATTCTGTTTTCGTTGGTTGTTTAAATGACTTAAAAAGCTACCATAATTTGTCATGTACAATTTATTTTGATCTCAACATTTTACTCAGAAAAAAAAACATTGACAAGAGTTCATTGAACTCGCCAAACAATTGGTATAACAAACACGTATGACGTTTAAATTATTTTTACTAAAACATTTAGCCGCTATAAGCACTTTACCGTCCAACATTATTTAACTGGGTAATGTCGGGGATTGAGGTTATATAAAAATGTTAACTCCGCTAAAGAGCCGTAAGCCAGTCAGCAAGTATGCGGGGCACATTCGGCCCCCGACGTGGGAATGCCCGCCGTGTGCCCGTCGCCGTGAGCGTCATACTGAACGTCCATTGCTCGTTTGTTTACATTGTGTCTGTTGGCCTTCCGTTGTTAAGCAAATAAAACACGAGGTAGAATAAAAAAGGAAAGGCTTCAATCACTTGTTATATAAAAAAAAATTAAAACGTCATTCGACATTTTACGACTCATAGGTACCTGTATAAACATATTTTTTTTTCTTCATTCTTATTTTACGGTACGAGACGAAATACTGTTTAATCCAATAATAAATAAACCGTCCTTACTATTCATCAATTGTGTTTCGTATTCATTAACGTTTAATAATAAATGGTAGCGGTTAGATGAGTTTCTAGAGAACAGTATTTTCTGTAGTAAAAACGTAAAAAAACATTAATCACATGCTTAATTATAAAAGATGTATATTAAATCAATTGCTGGATATAATTTGTCTTGCGGTACAGTCGCGGGAACAAGCGCAATACAATTTTAATTGTAATCGGTGCGATCTGGCAGTGGCAGTGGCATTTCTTTAGCTCGACCGCTCTTTGAGTAACGCCGACTGATGTCGATTATCGATCGCTTATCGATCTGAGGCAGATAGGGGCTCCTGCGCCTGATGCTTGCTGTACTATAATTCATATAACTTACAATAGTTCCTATGGAAAATCTTATTTAAGACAGAAGACTCTGTTATGTGGTTTACAGTATTAGTATTTAAACAATCGTGTTGATGCGAATATGGATATTTTACTTTGTTTAGAGAAAAGCACATAAAATAAAAACAGCTTGGTTTTGCTGCATGTAGCGGCCAGTGTGGAAAAAAGCTAGTTTTTAATCGCTTAAATTACACGCGATTGGTGTTGCATTATAATTAGCACATCTTGGCTCGGTATAATAGTGTAGACACGGGGGGAGGGCAAAGGGTGCAGCGGGCAGTTTGCGCCCGCGCATCCTAATTGCCCGGCCACTATGAGATCGCTATCATGTGCATTACGGGCATCTTATCTCTGATTTAATCGATTTCAGTCATATAAAAGTGTTTTTAATCTTGTTTGACTTAAAAGTATTCCCTTTTTATAAAATTAGGTAATACAAGGGGACTATAAGACTGTGATCACGACGATCTTTCTAAAATATTTTGTATCTTGTAAAATCATTTACGCATAAAAATTAAAGACAGAATATAACGTTAACAATAATCTTAAGAATAGAAGTTGAAATGGCGCTATTTCCATCTCCTGACAACATTCCACAATAATCACAAAGACGATTATGATAAAATGCAAGAACGCGTGCGATTTCTAATCGATCGGTCAATTAATTTAACAGCTCCAGCATTTAAAGTGCCAGCATTTAATTGCTTAGAAAACTTGTTGCGACTCGTTTTGTGCGACTTTCCACCGCTGATGTTGTGTAACACGTTTGGGAACGAATTACTTTGTTGTTGACAACACATTATTGCTATAGAATAAATTAACCGCACATCTTCGCGCCAGCAGCGGCGCAAAAAACTATCTTCTGCGAAGTTGACAGAATAATTTCTTGTTCTTATATGACTACGACTACTAGGTGATCTCATATGAGAGGTGTTTAGGATGTTAGTTGATGTTTTAAATGTGTGCGATATCGATGCATACGAAATTTGTTTAAATGTTGAGTTTCACGAATATTGTAAAAATAAAAAATTAAACAAAAACACAAACTGCATAATTCGTTCAAAAGACAACATCAATCTCGGACAATCGAAGAAGTGAGCATAAATCATGAGATAACCGCTAAATCATTTGGAGCAGATAAATCAATCGGCGCAGCGGCGACCTGCTGACTCCCGACCGCCGACTGACTCGTCACGATCCCGACTACAGCATTATTGATGGACCGACACCGACTTCAACTTTTCAACCGATTCTTTGTTCAGATAACACCTGCTTTTTTAAAAGCATATATGTTTTTCTATTTCTTAAAACAGTACAAAAAAAAATTAAAACTTTGAACCGCAGTCTTAAACTTTTTCTGTTTTTTCCAGACCTGTATGCCGCAACTGCGTGGTGTCGCCAACGGGGTCCTCCCCGCCACCGCTGCACGAGCAGGCGGCCTCACCTCCGCCGCCAGCTCCACCCTCGCCGTTAACCTCGCCACGCCTGCCCCCCGCGCCTGCCGACCACCCCGCGCTACCATCGCCGCAGCCCAGCCATAGTGGATCCTCCGCGCCTAGCCAGTGCAACTCACCCCACCCTTACTCTTACCCTAACTTCCGGCGCAGTCAACCGCCGCCGGGGCAGGCCTTCCCGGAGTACAACCTGCTGCACAGTCATAGTGTATCCCAGCTGCACCAACCCGGACAGAGCTACCGGTCTCCTCAGTCCCCGCAGTCCGCCATGTCGCTCTCCCCCCACCCCGCGCCACAGGGCAAGCTACGCGGCCTCCTAGAGCACGCCGAGAGGCTCATGAAGCCCGGGGACCCGCACAGGCACTCTCAGAGCGACGACGACTCCGGATGTGCGTTAGAAGAATACACCTGGGTCCCGCCTGGACTGCGACCTGAGCAGGTGAGAACTGATTACAATTTTACGAAATTCCTTAAATTACTACTACTAGGTTTGTATCAGCATTTTTACGGAAAATAACTCCGCTAGTAGATAAAATAGCCTTAAATTACTCACATTCAATATAGGTAAATCTTTATTAACAATATTTGTCTCTTGTTCAATGCTTAGAATTGTGTGATCAGATAAATTACTTATATGAATAAAATTTCCAACGTTTGATATTCTGATCACGTTCTAAAAGCTAGACGGTCGTAGCTACCTCGTTCAAATATCTGTTATTCAAGCCACAAAATATCCAAGCTATTTTCGAGTTGCTTATATTTCTACGATGCTTACTTCTTCTTCATTATAGAGCCGAAATTCCCGTGACACATCAATCGAAACTACAGCCATTGTGGGAAAATCGCAATAGACGTTTGAGACAGCTCCCTAGGACTTCTTCAGCCCTTTGTTCCCACAACAAAGCTATTGTTTGAAAAGTCTACTTATTTTCGACGTTTGTTCGCGGTCGTAGCGAACTATTCTCGAGCTCAGCCAGTCATTTTCAACATTTTAAACAGTTCTCTCATTATTAATATTCACAACAAACAATACTTTTGCTGTCGACAGCTCGATGATTGCTACATTTATGCTTCGCACCATTTTAATAATTTAAAACGACAATCGAATACGACATTCTGTTTAACTCTTTTAGCTAAAATAACTTCTTAATTTACCTAATAAATAGTTATTACTATAAAACATATAAGCGCAAGTTTCTTTTCTTTTATCTGTCATTTATCTCCGAGCATTTTAATAAATGACAAAAGACGATTATCATTTCGACACACATATTGCTGTCGAACGATTAGCGACCATTTTCCCTTTACCGCTCGCCATCTAAATGTGATTTGTCCGACTGTTATCCGTCATTATTTATACATTAACTATTGCGTAGGATTCGTTCAGAAGTAAATGTCTGGAATTAGGTAACAAATGATACGTTCATTGCCCTAATTCCAGTTCTTATGATTACAGCCGTTGCAATTACATGAACTACGACAAATAAATCTCACAAAGTTAATAACGATTTTAATACAATGTACATACAACTTTCACCTGTTTATATTAACAGACTTCTTAACTAAAACAGTACAATGCTTAACAATTCGATAAGGTGATAAAACTCGCACAAACTTCACTAGAAACTCAATAAAACCTTTTGTGCTCCGAGTATTTGAGACGTAAAGTTTAATGCTTTGAATACCAAATTAGATCGCGGCATTTATAATTACTACAAAAATAAGAAGCTTGATTCGGGAGGCAACGGAGCAAAAAATTAGAATGTTCTCCGGGGGCGCGCCCTGAGACGCTCCCTTCAAGACTACTTGAGGTCACGGCGGCGTGCTTACGCAAATAGCCAAAGAATTAACTCGTATTTTCCTGTCGCTCCATATTTTTTAAGGGTGAAAAATAATACCATCTTCTTGACGGGATCGTAAACATTTTATATTGCGCATAGAATATTTATTTGTCTATGCAAATGGCTTTTAATAAATTTTTATTTTCAAACGCATATTTAATGTAAGTAGTAAGTGAGTTATCTTGTAACATGTCTTGGTTTACCACAGAGTTAAAAGCTGTCAAAACACGACATCCGTAACTGAGGCAAGTTGACCGTTAGCTAAACAGTAAGTCGCGTTCACTTACAAAGTTATGACAGGAAGGTTTGAGTTTCTTTGACCGACTTCCTAAATGAAGGAGGTACTCAATTCGTCTGTACGTTTTTTTATAAATCATTACAACCTTCTGGAATTGCCTAAGTTCTGAATTCTGCTTTTATTGCCACTTTAGTATTACTTAACAAAATGTTCTGTTTTTTACTTTTACACGTCTGTAATGTCCTGTAAGAAATACCTAAACCGTCAACTTATTAATTCTAGTGATTTAAAAGTTAAAAAAGCAAACATCTCCAACTTGGCAAATATTCTCAATACGACGCAGTATTGAATGGCCATCGAAGTCTTAAACGCTACCATATACGATCACGACGAACCTGGAAAGGTAAAATGCAATCACACGTCTCTCCCCTGACCACTGCCAATAAATACGAGCGCCTACTTACTATATCAGCGGAAATGCACGCTGCTGTTATATTAGTTTTACACTTGTGTAGTTTAGTGAGACAGAATAGATAGATAATGCAGTACTGTCACTGTTTTTTTTCCACGTGTGCGTTTAAACAATAGCACTCTACCCTCGTGTGAAAAGCATAACTCAGAGTCCTCGCCAGTCCGAGCACGTAGGGTTTTCATTAGCCCGCCGTGTCGTTATTACGAACTGACAATATTATGTGCGGGGATTATCATAAAACATTATTATTAATAATGTTTCATTTACTGAGTTTACTTGGATATTCTTTTGGGAGATATTATTACAATTTTCTTTTGTTTTCTTTAATGAATTCTAGCTATGTTTCTATATTTTCGGAAGACTTTAAATATTGAATTGATAATTCTGAAATATTAACAATAGATAGGTATTATTCAAGTTCTAATGAAATGTTAGCCACTATGCCAATAATGTTTTATTTTACTTAGATATTTGCGTATTCACACTACACACAAAATACAGAACCTCAACATAACTCTATCGTCTAATGAAAACAAACGAATAGTAACTGTTTTAATTTTGGGCTACAAGCTTTTGGATTGGAAAGTACATTCCTGTGGGGGCAAGGGTTACAAGAGGGCGACAGCAGGTGAAGTGTTCAGTGTTTACTGACTACCGTTAATAGATGCGGCTGCTTAAGATGCCGCTGCACGTCCAAACAGCGAGTTTAAAGCGAACAGAATATTTACATATTAAAGTATTACTGTTTTGATAATTGGCAATACGGATAATATGTTACACGTGTTATTTCATTGAGGCGAGATAATTGTATCGACACATAGATCCGGTCGATTTGAAACAAGTTTATGGATTCAAACTTCGAATATACAAGTAATATAGGCCTATAATATAAATGTTTAAATAACAAATAATTGCGTATCGTAGAGTTACGTCGTAACACATTAGCACATTACATTTGAACACTACTTTTGGACTTGTCAGTAAATTATTAGATTTGTTACGATGCGTGTTCCAGGTGCACCTGTACTTCTCCGCGCTGCCGGAGGACAAGGTGCCGTACGTGAACAGCGTGGGCGAGCGCCACCGCCTCAAGCAGCTGTTGCAGCAACTGCCGCCGCAGGACAACGAGGTACGCTCTACACATTGCAAACTGCTTCTGTATACTATATCCTACATACTGCTCTCCTAGCTTCGTACTACATAAGTTGTTGCAATCATCTGCAACAAGAGGTGTACGTTGTTGTGCTACGATAAAGTTATGAGTATGTGTTCTAGAGTCTCTGGCAGTTGTCTCCAATCTAGAAATGCCACAAGGTTGATGAATACGTTATCACTTCAGGTGCGGTACTGCCACGCGCTGTCGGACGAGGAGCGCAAGGAGTTGAGGCTGTTCAGCGCGCAACGCAAACGCGAGGCGCTCGGACGAGGACAGGCACGACAGCTGCACGCTCCCGCGCCCTGCGATAGGGTAAGTACTGCAATACCAATGTACTGCTTTGCAAACTAAATCAACCAGCATAGAATAAGGCCTAGTCACTGACTTGGGTATACTTTGAGCCCCAAAGTAGGGACATGTAAGATTTAACGAAGCTTGAAGTATACCTACTGATTGATGATTTATTGGAACAATTTTAAGTTATTACGTCCTACAATGATTCTGTCTACATTGTAAAGTCCAAAGGTGATAGACTGAAGTAAATAACGGGTAAAAGAAAACCTCCGTCCGGACAATTAGTCGGTGACGAGTTGGCCGGGTCCGGAGCGCGTCCGTAGCCGCATTGCGGGCTTCCGACCGCGACGACAGCGACACGATTTATCGTAGATCCGGAAGCTTTAAGTAAACAACGACAAATTTCCTCGCTGCCTGATTTACATATTTTAAAGGAATTTACGAAGTTTCGAGCGCCTTGGTGGGCATATTATATAGGCTACGTTGTTATAGAGAATATTATAGACGAAGTTTACAAGAAACCGCTAAACTACTATAACTTATGAAATTACATACTCTGTACAAATTTATTTTGTACTACGCGTAACAAAAACCGCTGTCTCTTTTCCCTGTACACCTGCCCTAAATAAATTCCCAAACGGTGTAACATTTTAATTCAACGGCACATAAATCATAAAGCGCCCTCACGACACCTGACGGCGACAAGCGGCAACTATTGCACTGCTCTTTTTCATTTGAATTTAACATCGACGTTATGAATTTTCATTTCCTTTTACATAAGATACAAAAGTACTACTATTGTGATTATAATTAAATAAGTATTATTTGTATCTGAAACCAGAATAAGATTATTTTAACAAATACTTGAAAAAAACACTCAAAATTCATTAATGTAATTAACTTGATTGCTTTCATCCCCCAAATGTAGTCAAACTCCCCACTCAACACAGAGGGCGCTCGCTCCGTCGCTTTGCTAATTTCTACATTTATTTTAATTGACAAACTTTCTTACAATTTTTACGAACAATTTTTACTGATCTCGATTTATAACATTTTTGTGAGGCAGCAAACTTTGCCTTTGAAATTATAACTTTCGACTTTTGACTGAAACCTTCGCCTTATGAATATTAATTATGCAAAACGGAAGATGAAATAAAAAGGGAAAGAAGGATCAAAATTAAAAATATTAAAAGAAAAAAGTAAAATTATAATTAATAGAAACTGAGTATTTCAGTGTAATTTTTGGTATATTGTGATATACCTACTGAGTATAGCTCTCGACCGCGACTTCGTCTGCGCGGAATGAAAAAAAAAACTAAATAAGTAGTCTATGTGTTCTTCCAGATTTTGTTCTTCATCTATTCCAAATTTCATCGAGATCTGTTCAAAAGTTTACCTTAAAAAAATCCCTCTAAACATTCGCTTTTACATTAACTAGTAAGTAATTCGTTTACAATTATTCAATGGCACACTGAAGCCTTAATTTAAGAAATAGTGCATTATATTAGTCAATGTTACAACTTCTATAATGTAATAGTCCATTAAAGTTTACAATCGTGACAGCGACATCTAGCGTGACAGCGCAATAAAATCAGGAGAAGGTTGGCGTAAAATTGGTTCATTCGTGACGATGCTACTACGGGGTTATAAAGAAACTAATAATAATTTTGACTTCCTTCCTCCCGTCCACCCTTCCCACGCGTCTCCCCCTGCCCTCAGTCGCGGAGTAATTAGTGCTTAATGTACTGGAAACGGAAATTTAGCCTCTAGCGGTATCTTTGAGGTATTACTTGATTTGATTCAAATTTTTATGAACTATCTGATTTGTTTTATTATCTTATATCACAAGAGTAATTTGCGGTTGTAAAGTTAATATTTAAACATATCTAACGAATAACTTAAGAAAATAAGTTTAAATTTACTGCTTACTGTCGGTAGAGTGCAGCGAGGGCAAGCTGTATGTTTACGATCTCAGAGCTCGCTAATGGATTAACTGCTCACTGTACAGTTTATTGTTAATGCTGTTTATATTTCAAATGTGATAGAAAACAGCAACATTACGATACATTTAAAATTACTTACCAGGTGATGCTCAAATTTAAGAAAAAATCGATATAAACTCATTTGAGATTTTAATAATATTATTACACCTTTCTCTACGTGTAATAATAGTAGAGTATTCCCTGCAATTAACCTGTGTGGACACCGTCTGAGACAGAGGTCTATGCTCCCCCCTAGAGTCCAGAAATTGTAGCCTAAATAAATGAATTAATTTAAATATTAAAGTTTCTACAACCTCCAGGGACCGGAGTAGATAACTTAAAAATAAAATGCCCGTTTTATATTAAAGCATTATTGAAATAAAAAAATACTACTAGTATCCCATCCCAAAGGTCATGTGTATATGTGTAAACAATAACTGTTCCACGAATAGTCCGCTCGTCATTTTGTAAGAAATCTTACATTGACGAGTAAAAAGCAAGTGGTAATCTCATCCCCTCATTGTTGTCGTCATCATGCATCCCTCGTGTCAGAGGTAAGACTTCAAACGTTTTACAAATCGGCATATATCTACACCCATATTAGATTGTGTGTTTCTATACATATTCGTCTATACCGTTTTCATATTGAATGTTAATAAATAAAGATAAATAAACCAAGAATGTTAATACGAAATACAAGGCAAATTTAATTATTTAGTGAACCTAAAAAAGTGAAGTTCTATCGATTATCTTAAATTCTAAACTCCCTCTAAAAAAGTTCGCAGTTGCCAGCGTAATACGACCACTGCATGTTTTAAATAACTATCAAAGAATGATGTGTAGGAAATATAATTTTACAAGAGCGCGTGAGACGTGTGGTCGGCGCGCTTTAGACAAGCGCGTTAAATTGACTCCGCCGATAAAAGGGTGAAGATATTCTGTACTCTTTGAAACATGTTTTAGTTTCACATAAAAAACACGTTACAATCTTAAGTGGTTTAAGTCGAATTCCCAATCGTAAATAAGGTGGTAGTTACACGAGTTTTCACGGAGTAAATAGGTACTTATAACTTTACCTATTTTTTCAATAAAGAATCTATAATTTGTGATAAATTTCATAAATTTTACTATTTAAAAGGGCTTAACATCTTTTTATTTCACTTTGTTACGATTCTAGCAAAACGTGCCGTATCTTTTATTGTTATGAAAATCTTTACGGACTTCCGGATATTAACGTTTCCCAGAAATGAGCAAAAGTCTCATAAACACAATCTTTCCCTACTTTCGCTGAAGATAAATCGCACAACTTGTGGCGCCCTCTCGTGTGCTGCGCCTGATTTATAGCTTTGAGTAATGACTACATGTTGCCAACAGATGGCGTTGGCGAGTTGTTTATTGCAAACCTAGATTTATCGCTGGGGGGATTCGCAACTCCCAAACAGCTGTTCCCGCGAACTTTTTGCTATAAATGAAAATTATTTAAACTCACAGATATAAATACGACGGGAAATATCGCATAAGTTCCTTTATGTACCTTTATTAATAAAACCTGAAATTAGCATTAATATAGAAATCAAACATTTTGAAAAATTCTCATCACCGTTCTTGTTTTTTTTGGACTAATTAGCAACCGTTGTACATTTTGTGTTATGGATCTCATCACCTGAGTCCTTTCGTTTCGTTCTTTTTTTTAGGCATTGATTTTGTTTAAAAGAAATAGTTTCAAAAAAAATCCATTTATATCTATCATCGAAAAGTTACGTACCTTTTTTTCCAAAATTGTTATTTACAACATTTTTGTCTTCATTTTGATAATAGCGCCATCTGTTGCACATCAACATACACTAATTTAGTTCGTCAAAAAATTATTAAATTTGAGCTGTATCTGAAAGTCGACAAAAGATGTCGCTTTAGCGAAACTTATTTGAAGGTGTTAGATATCTTATCTAGATGGCGTTCAAGCGCTGTAATTTAATAGTTTATCACATCAACTAGATGTCGTTACAAGCAAGTTCTCCTAATATGTAAACCAAAGATAGTTTACGTATTCATTATTATTTTACATCGGCTATAAAAGCGTGAGCTAAAGCCTTTCCTCGAAGGTGTGAAAATGATTTTTGTTCTTCGTAGAGGTATATTTTTTCTTAATTCTGTAGTTTAGGCGTGGGAACGGGCAGCGGGCAGGTAGCGTCCATTCATTGCATTATGTGGGCTAGAGGCGTCAGACGGAGCATTTGTATCTACGGTCATTGTGTAGTGTGTACGTGCTCCGCGCTGTGCGGAGGTCGCTGGGCGACGTGGCGTTTGTTTGTTTTCCTTCATGCGACTTATTTTGCCCTTTTGTTTTATTGTTTACTAATACTATTGTTGCTATTGTTCGATATGACTTACAAGTTTACAAATAATCATCAAAGAACAGTTTTCTAGTAAAAACTTTTTATTTAAAATTATTTTTGTTAATAAAAACCATTGCTATAAACACTTAACTTATAATGTGAACTTAGTCTCAATACTTTCGTGATTTGTTACAGTTCGATTTTAATTTAAGTTTTTGTGTCGATTTATAACAAACAATGAATTAAAATAATGGAAAATAAAATCGTGTCATTACGACATTGTAATATTGAAGTCTCACGGCGAATGCAGCGACGCGTCTGCAGCACGTCGGCAACACGCGGAAACATTTACAAAAATTGCCTCATTATCATTACTAAAAATTAATTAAACTAAATTAGTTACAATTGACAAATATTGATCAGAATGATTTCAGAAAACCTTATTTTAGTTCCACTCTGTGGTCTGATTCTTCAAAATTACTCCCCTTTTATCATTACTTGCATTTATCGAGTTTTCATTTTCATTTAAGTAAAATGAGGTTTAAGGATAACGTCATATAGTCTATCGTATAATCCTGTGCTGTTTTGTAATACATTCTTAAGTGCAGTTTTTGTAAAATTCTAGCAGTTATTAGGTCGTGGTAAGAAGCAAAGCGGCCCATTCATCACTGCGTCATGAATGAAACTGCTATATTTAGCG